GGGGCCGGTCCTCGACGCTCGGCAGCCGCTCGCCCCCGTGGCCGCGGGGCTAGAGCTGGCTGCTGCCCGCGCGCCTGAGGGGGGAGGCTGTGACGCCCCCGCGGCTATGGCCGCGGCCCCCGGGCCCTCCCGCGCCTGAGGGGGTGCTGGGGCATGTCCCGCTCCAACAGCGTGAGCCCCCCGGGCTTCGGGGCCCCCGCGCCCTGGGAGCCGCACCGCTCGGCCTGGGGCGAAGCTGAGTCCCGGGCCAATGGCTACTCCTACCCACCGCCACTGCCCGGCCGGTCCTCGTGCAAGAAGGCGTCGCGCCGGTGGCGGAGCGAGGACGACTATGAGCCCCCGGCTGGCAGGACCCGTGAGGGCGGCGGCAGGATGACGAGTGTGCGGTCCAAGTCGGCTTGGCAGGACCATGGGCCCCAGAGCCGCCGGCACTGCCCGCCGTGCCACCCATCGGGGGGGGACGGCACCACCGCCACCAGCCCCCGGCGTTTCGGGGAGCAGGGCGAGGTGCGGCCTCGCTCGGTGGAGCTGGGGCTGGAGGAGCGGCGTGGCAAGGCCAAGGTGGAGGAGCTGGAGGAGGAGGAGGAGGAGGAGGAGGACGACGGGGACTCGGACACGGCAGTGTTTTCCGTGGGTGGCTGCTGTGGCGGCCTGCTGCAGATCTTTAGGTCGAAGAAGTTCCAGTCGGAGAAGCTGGAGCGCCTCTACCAGCGCTACTTCTTCCGGCTGAACCAGAGCAGCCTCACTATGCTCATGGCGGTGCTGGTGCTGGTGTGCGTGGTCATGCTGATCTTCCACGCGGTCTACGGACGCTACGAGGCACCCTACGTAGCGGTGCTGTCCACTGCCATCCTGCTCATGGTGGTGCTGGGTGCCGTGTGCAACCGCAATGACTTCCACCAGGACCACATGTGGCTCGTGTGCTACTCAGTCATCCTGGTGATCTTGGCCGTGCAGGTTGTGGGCGTGCTGCTGGTGTGGCCCAGGAGCGCCTCAGAGGGCATCTGGTGGACAGTTTTCTTCATCTACAGCATCTACACGCTGCTGCCTGTCAGGATGCGGGCGGCGGTCATCAGTGGTGTGGTCCTCTCTGCCATCCACCTGGCGATCTCCCTCAAGATCAATGCCGAAGACGATTTCCTGTTAAAGCAGGTGAGTCGGGCAAGCCTCAGCTTTGGGGCCAAAAGGCTCGTCTGTCCTGAGATGCTGGTGGCTTCCAGTGGTGAGGCAAAACTGAGGTTTGTAGGTTGTTTTTTTTGGGGCGAAGGCTGATAGGACTTTGTCCTGGACCTTGTACCCACATACAGGCTACTCTAACCTTGATTTCTTCCTGCTACAGTCCTGCTTCCTCTTGATTGCTTTTCAGTAACAGTGTACCCACACATCTCTTGGTTTGGTTTACTAGCTGATCTTTTGGCACAATATGGACTAGCCGTATTAACAGCTAGTCCCTTCCAGTTTTAGTCCCCGTAAACGGATCGGCCCTAAGCACACCTGTGGAAACGGTAGGTGTTGGATGCCGTGGTCCTGAAAAAATGTGCCAAAAACGTTGTGACTTGCCAGCAGGATGGAGGGGAAACGGCTCTTGCCTATAAATGTAGGAGTCCATATCAAATGCCAGTAAAATGTTTTTGGGGCTTCAAAGAGATGTATTTAATATAAGCTAAATATCTCAGTGACCTAAAGAAAAGTGTTTGCTCTTTTTGAAATGTGTAGTACGTACCTAGAGTGTAAAGAAGTCAAAATGCAGTCCACACACAGCCTGGACTAACTCAAGTTTTAGACGCAGCTCTTTTTTTTCATTATTGTTTATTTTAACTGTAATCTCGATAGAATAAATAACTAAGTGTTAAGCTGGAGGAGTTCAGCTCATCAAAACAATAGACAATTATCAAATGCATTGCAGTGCAATTTTTAATTGCCCTGTCTGTTTAGGCGACAGTAATACAAGGCACTTCTTTTCCTTGCTAAGCAAAGCAAGCATTTTAGAGGGGTTGTTTTGCTTAAGCTTAGCAAATGCATTAACAATAGGAAACTATCATTGTGTTTTCACAATTGG